TATCCACTGTTAGCGTAACACACCCGCTTTAAGGACACTGACTGCTATTCAATCTATAACAGTAAAAAAAGTTTTTTGTTTTTAAATCCAAGCTATTGTGACACCGGATCTAATTAGTGGCACTTGTCAGCGTATCCACTGTTAGCGTAACACACGCTTTAAGGACACTGACTGCTATTCAATCTATAACAGTAAAAAAAGTTTTTTGTTTTTAAATCCAAGCTATTGTGACACAGGATCTAATTAGTGGCACTTGTCAGCGTATCCACTGTTAGCGTAACACACCCGCTTTAAGGACACTGACTGCTATTCAATCTATAACAGAGAGAAAAGTTTATTGTTTTAATCCAAGTATTGTGACACAGGGTTAATTAGTGGCACTTGTCAAGCTATTATCCACTGTTAGCGTAACACACCGCTTTAAGGACACTGACTGCTATTCAATCTATAACAGTAAAAAAAGTTTTTTTGTTTTTTTAAATCCAAAGCTATTGTGACACAGGATCCCTGAGAGTGGTAGGCACTTGTCAAAAGTACATCATCACTGGTAAAAGCGTAACACACCCTTTAAGGACCTGACTGCTATTCAATCTATAACAGTGAAAGTGTTTTTGTTTTTAAATCCAAGCTTTGTATCTGAATCTAATTAGGTGGCAAGGTCACCGTATCCACTGTTAGTAACACCACCCGCTTTAAGGACACTGACTGCTATTCAAATGTAACAGTGAAAAAAGTTTTTTGTTTTTAAATCCAAGCTTTGTGACACCAGATGTAATTGGTGGCACTGACTGGGGAAATGGGCACAGTATGCACTGTGAGCCTGACACAGAAGCTGGCAGCAGTGGCAGACAACTGACTGCTATTCAATCTATAACAGTGAAAAAGTTTTTTGTTTTTAAATCCAAGCTATTGTGACACCAGATGTAATTGGTTGCACTGACTGGGGAAATGGGCACAGTATGCACTGTGAGCCTGACACAGAAGCTGGCAGCAGTGGCAGACAACTGACTGCTATTCAATCTATAACAGTGAAAAAAGTTTTTTGTTTTTAAATCCAAGCTATTGTGACACCAGATGTAATTGGTGGCACTGACTGGGAAATGGGCACTGTGAGCCTGACACAGAAGCTGGCAGCAGTGGCAGACAACTAAGTGCATTTACATTAGATAGAAAAAAAAAATCCAAAAAAAGCATACCCTTATCCCTAACCTAGCTTTGCTTTTCCCTATCTTATGAACAGCAGCTACACTTTCCCTCCTCTTACTAAGCATGCAGCTTGAGAATGAATCTAAAATGGATGCCGTCCAGTAGGTGGGAGGGTCTGCTAGGGAGGCTGTGCTGCTAATTGGCTGGAATGTGTCTGCTGACTGTGAGGTACAGGGTCAAAGTTTACTCAATGATGACGAATAGGGGGCGGGTCGAACCGCGCATATGTTCGCCCGCCGTGGCGAACGCGAACATGCTATGTTCGCCAGGAACCGTTCGCCGGCGAACCGTTCGGTACATCACTACATGTTAATAGTAAAATCTGTAAATTACATTACAATTTGATTGAGACACTTTGTAATAAATTAGTTGAAATAATTTTGTATCACTTGCAAGTAGACTTGGCAATAAAACTATCCTTAAAAAAGTGCAATAGATGAACTACAATAAAGAATATAAAAATGAAATGAAGTGAAAAATAAGTGAGGATTAACCT